GTATCCCTACATCATCACCCTTAGAACAGTCCTTTTAAGAGTGTTGGAACCTACAAGATGAAATTTAGATCAAGAATTTCCCTTTTCAGATCAGACCTACAAGACGTAAGAGAAGCTGTGACTCCTGTGAATTCAGTAAATCTTACATAGGGTAGGTGGTCAACAGTTGTATGGTTTTGCCTTCCCATGTGTTTCCAAAATAAATGCAACTGAAAATTGGGCTTAATAGTTTCATGATTCAAAATGAATCCATGAATATTCTTTCATATATACTTTCATTGATCATTAAGAAATTGCCTTTATATATCTGAGTTATTATTCAAAGATTTCTTTTTACCATTTGAGCTTAAAACTGCAAGTTAAAGGCTGGGATAGAGCTGGGGTTGTGACTCAGTGGTAGAGCACTTGCCTAGCATGCATGAGGCACTGGGTTCCATCCTCAGCACCACATTAAAAAACTAAATAAACGAAATAAAGGTATTGTGTCCATCTACAACTAAAAGTATTATTTTTTTTTAAAAAGGGGGGTGGGATATAGCATGCACAAGGCCCTGGGAGTGAACCCTAGCACTACAAAAAACAATTAGAAAAGTTAAGTTTATTGGAATAAATTGTAAGGGGTGTTAAGGCCGCTATGTTTCGTTTAGCCTTTGCTAAGATGGTAGCTCATTTACATAGAGCTTCAGTTGGCTTTTTCACCATTGTGACCAAAAGACCAGACAGGAACTATTTTAGAGGAGGAAAAGTTTATTTGGGCTCACAGTTTTAGAGGTCTCAGTACATAGACAGCCAGCTCCATTGCTTTGGGCCTAAGGTGAGGCAGAACATCATGGTGGGAGGTACATCATGGTGGGAGGTGAGGCAGAACATCATGGTGGGAGGTACATTTCTGTGGCAGAGGAAAGCAGCTCAAGACATCACTGTGAAGCTGAGAGAGACTTCTCTCACCAAGAACAAATATGTACCCCAAAGGCTCACCCCAGTGACTTCCCTCTTCTAGCCGCATCCTACCTGCCTACAGTTACCACCCATTTAATCACTATCAAGCGATTAATGCACTGATGAGGTTAAAACTCTTATAAGCAAATCACTTCACCTTTAAATTTTCTTGCATTGTCTCACACATGAGTTTTTGGGGTCACTTAATATTTAAACCATAACACAAAGTATACCCTAAACAACCCTATTCTTAAGTCGAATCCTAAAAACGAAAAGCATCCTTGAGTCACTAAATTTGCTTTGAATTTGTGGTGTTCATGTGAGATGTTTTGGTATAGAATATCTTTTAAAATAATTTTATTGGTGCATTATAATTATACATAGTAATAGGATCATTATGCTATATTTGTAAGTGCACATAATATAATAACCACAGTCTCATTTCCCAGTACTTTCCCTTTCCTTTGCCTCTTACCTCCCCCTGATCTGCTTGCTCTCCTCTATCAATTTTCCATTATTGTTGTTAGTGCATTTTTAAGTGTGTGTGTGTGTCTGCAGGACTCATTGTAGCATGTTCATAGCATAATTTGACAGATTTCATACCCCAGTACTTCCCCATGTGTTCCTACCCACCCACCCCTAGTTCTCTTCCTCTACTCTATTTGTCTTCTACTTTTGTCTTTCTCTCTGCCCCACCTTTTTAAATCCCTTCTATCCCCCACTCCCACCCTCAACCCCTAGTTTCTACATATGAAAGAAAACATTTGACTTTTAACTTTCTGCATCTGGCTTGTTTTACTTTGCATGATATTCTTCAGTTTCATTCATTTACTAGCAAATAATATAATTTCATTTTTCTTTATGGCTGAATAAAATGGCATTGTGTATATATACTGCCTTTTCTTTATTCATTTGCCTATTGATGAGCTGGTTCCATAACTGGGCTATTGTAAGTTGCACTACTATAAACATTGATGTGGCTGTATCAATGTGGTATGCTGATTTTAGTTCTTTTGAATAAATACCAAGTAATGGGATAGCTGGGTCATATGGTGGTTTGTCTCTTGACCAGGCCTATAAGCTGTAAATACAAAGATAACACTTGTGGCAGAATTTATTTCTTAGATTATATTCTAGTGTGACTTGGAAGGAGGTCCTAGTGTCTAAGACAAAAAGAAAAATAGACTATAGGGAAGTTAAAATTTTTCTCTTTTCCGCCCAAAAGGGGTTCAATAATTTTAGTCATATGAAATGAGTTGACAATAGATAGATCACAGGAACCAAACACATTTTATGAGACTCAAGAAAAGGGCATGGTGATTGCCATTTATATAATAAATTAGCACAATTCTTTCTTTTTCCTCCTCTAGTTATATCATGGTTTTGACTAACTATATATTCTTTACTGTTGAGTGGTGATTATTCAAATTTTGTTTTCTTTGCACTGAAAATTTACTTTAGCTCACTCTGTATCTATCACCAATTTCTCTTCCTAATATGTTCAAACACATCAGGAATTTGATTTCATTGTTCTAGATTTTCTCTTGTGAAATCTCTTCTCTTGGGGCTGGGGTTGTAGCTCAGTGGTTGAGTGTTTGCCTCACATGCGTGAGGTACTGGGCTCCATCCTCAGCACCACATAAAATAAATAAATAAATAAAACTATATATATATATATATATATATATCATGAAAAGAAAGAAATCTCTTGCTTGTTTCTTGACTCTTCTTAAGGTCCCAGGATCACCCTTAGGGATTAATCAAATACCTTGTTTCTATGTTGGTTCCTCTATTTCCTAGATCTCATGTATTCCATTTTCCTTTTCCTCTTTCTTTCTTGGTGCTGGGAATTGAACCAGGGCCTTCTGTTTGGTAAGGACATGCTATACACCTGACTCCTTTCCCTTTTCTTGGTTTGTGAATTTATTTCCATGGAGCAGGTGTTACACTGATTCTCTTGAGATAGAAGGCAAATTGAGATGCTATGTCTAAAAATGTCTATAATTGATATTTTTGTTGGATGCAGAACTCAAGGATTTCAAAGGTACTGCTTCCTTCAGTTGTCTAATAAATTCCAGGGCTGCTCTTGAAATACCTGATACTTTCTGGTTCCTGCTTTTCTATATGTGATCTATTTTTTGTTGTTCTGGTTTTGAATCTCTGACAGACTTTATGTTTGTTGTCGTCAGTATCCTGCAATTTTGTGATGTCATGCTCTGTCTAGTTTACATCTTTTTTTTTTAATGTGTTGAGCATTAGGCAGGCCATTTCTTATTATTTCTTATTTTTGCCTAATTGGATGCAATAGCTTTTCTCGTCTAAAAGCTTTTCTCGTCATATAATTATATGATTTTATCTTTTTCTTTTCTCAGTTTTCTTCTGTTCCCTGGCCTAACTCGAGTTCTTTTTCTTCTTTTCCTATGAATGGTATGTCTGTGTGTGTCTCCGTTCTCCCTCTTCTTCTTTCCCTCCCTCCCTCCCTCCCTCTCTCTCCTCCCTCCCTCCCCCTCTCCCCCCCCTCCCCCCCCCCTTCTCTCCCCCCCCCCCCCCACAGGTAGCTATTCCTGTATTCCACAGTGTTATTAATCTACATGGGACCATGACCCCTTTTGCATGCTGAAGCTTATTGACAGAAATTCTTTAAAGTCAAAGAAAATTTGTTCTAGTAAAATATACTTATCTGAATATTTTTCAAAACTATTCTATATCAGTATATGTGCTTGTTTATTAACATATTCAGTAAAATAAGAGGTAGCTCTAACAATGATCATAATTTTGAAGTAATGATGAGTATAAATGTTTTTGAAATATTTGCACCAAATATAATATATGAAAATATCTGATTTTTATTGGCAATGAGTACACAGATTGCCAATATTATTGTTATCTATAGCCTATATTTATAATTATAAAGAGATGTCCCATTTCAAATAGAGGTTAATGTAAAAAGTTGTTTTTTACATTCAAGTTCTTGGGCCTTTTGAAGTCTATTGAATGATTAGTCCTAGGGGGATTAAGAACACTTTGATTAGAGGTTTTTTTTCAGTGTAAGATACTGTAAAGCTGATTGTGGAAACTCTGGTGACAGAATGGGGCTTGACAACTAGAAGTCTTCAGTGTGAGTTGTGAGGTACTCAGCTTTCATTACTTCTGCATCTTTCTTTTTAGGACTCAAATCTCTTCCCCAAAGATTCCATAATATTCTGTATGTGGAATTTCAGTTTACTTCTCTGTTAGATAATTTTGCTTTCTCATATTCTTCCAGCAGAATTTGCTTTTGTGATTTTCCTGAATGGATGGGCGGATAGATAGATAGATAGGATTTTTTTTTCTAGTGTTCCAGTAAAACTTTATTTACAGAAATAGGAGGGCTGAGAATGTAACCCAGGAGCAGAGCACTTACCTAACATGCATGAGGTTCTGGGTTCAATCCCCAGCGCCACAGTAAACAAAAAACGAGCAGGAGATGGATTTGGGCCCCAAGACCTGTTTGTTGACCCTTAGTTAGTTTTTACATTTTAACATCTCACACATACTATGTGGTATTCCTTAGGTGGATTTACCCTAATTAATTTAATAAGCCCTTTATTGATAAACATTTAACCTTTCAGGTGTTTTTTTTTTTTTATTACAAGCAGTTCTGCACAAACAGCCTTGTTATCATTGAGTATTTTTCTAAATATATCTGGAAGAAATTCTTGGAAGTGAAATTACTGTATTGAATGTAGGCATATTTAAAATATTGGCAGAAATTGCCAGTCTGCTCTCCATAAAGATTATACCTGTTTATATTCTGTCAGTGATATGTGAAGGTGCTGACTTCCCCACCACACATTGCCAAATCTGAGACTGTGAAAAAGGCCATGCACTTTAGCTCTAAAATTAAAAAAACTATTTTTGGGTTGAGGGGTTCTGAATGGTTATATTAGATATGTTCTTATTAAGCACGGTCATTCCAGAAAAGTGCACATATACTCTTTTAATATTAAAAAATCCTTAATATGACAAGAAAATAGGGCTGTTTCTTTATTTCATATTTAATTTTCACCCTGATTTTCCAGGAGCTTTCAAGTTGTGGATGGAATAAGAAGGAAAAATATAGTTCTGCACCAAATGCAGTTGCCTTCACAAGAAGATTTAATCACGTGAGTTGTTTACAATTTTGATGCTTAGTTTTTGAAATTCTGTTCCTTAGTACATAATTTTTCTAAATAGGAAATTGTTTTAATTTTCACATCGATTCTGGAATATTTTTGGCCAGTATTTCTTCAAATATTTTTTCTCATGATTTTTGCTTTTTTCCCTCTATAATTACTATAGTACTTTTGTTGAAAGTTGGCCTTCTTTCTTGCTTGTCTCAACCTTTCCTGTTTTCACACCTGTCTTTTGTGTTCCATCCTGAGGGATTTCTTCAAGTCTGTATTTCAGCTCACTAATTCTCTCAGATGTGCTCTGTTTCAAACTATGTGCTTTTACCCTAGTGTCATATTCTTAGTTACAAAAGTAAAAAGTTTCTTAAGTAATTTTGGGCAATTTATTTTATAGTTTCTGTGTTATCATCTGAAGTTCTTGGGATACTTCTCTGTTTATCTCTACTAACCTTTACAGTGGTGTGTTTTCTTAGCTGATTGGTATCTGTGCATGGAAAGTTCGTGCCTGTGTTAGCTTTGTCTGTGGAAATTTACTGCTTCCCAGGTTGTGGGTATATCCCTTCTGGGGGCTGCTTGCTTTGGTTGTTCCTGGAGCTGTCACAGACCTGGGACTATTCCTTATGTTAAATGTTTTGGTTGGGGGATATCTACACTTCTCTATAATGGGACTTTAAATTCTAAATCCAGCTAAGGAAAGGCTTTTAGTTACAAATTCTTATGAGAGACTAATTTTTTCTCCTTAGTATCCCAAAGCCTAGATAAACTTGTGTGTTGTCTCCCTCTTCCAGTAGGTGAATTTAGTTTACCTTTTCACTGAGATTACAGCCCTTTGAGGAGCCTTTAGGTAGAAATGGAGATAGAAAGGAGAAGTGTGAGGCCTATGTTGACTCTGAAGGAGTCTAAAGTCCCAAGCATCTGTCATTGAGTCAGGAAACTTTCCAAGGACAGCTGCAGGGTCCACTTTTGTAACCACTGCTTTGCTGTTTCCTTCTTTGTGTTTGGTCTAAGGAAATCCTTTCATCTCAGACATACATGTCTGTGTGTACATGTGTGTTGTTGTTGTTGTTAACTTTGTTTTATTTAATCCAGCATTTCTAGGGGTTTATAGAAAATAGATTCTCATTCACTGAACTCCCCAAAATGGAAAATTTAAGAATTAGATTAAACCCATTTGAGGCATAGAGGGAAGACATATTTTATACTAAATTGCATATCTGAGCTACTAAATTGCATATATGAGCTATGTAACAGTTACTTTAAAATTTTTTCTGAGGTGGTCATAATTTATCATCACAGTAAACTTTTTTAATATACAAAAACATTGTTAGAATACTCAAAAATTTGATCTTAGCTTTTATCTCTCGTGCTTAAGTAAGCTAAAATGTTGTCAAACACATCACAAAATACCAAAAGCTTTTGTCCTTATTCCAGATTGTAGTTGATCTTCTCATAAGCTTTTTTACATAGTTTTTCCATTACTCCATTATTTTCTAGAAGGTCACAGGAGATCTGAAATTTAACATTAGAAAAGAAGTTGGGACGAATCCTTTAAAGAGAACCTGTATGCATTTATTGAATGATTTTTATGGTCCTGGAGACCATGCATCTTTAATTTTTAAATGAGTGTCTTGTAGACAGCTGTATTCAATAAGAAAAGGAAAGTCTAATTTAGACTTAGGAAAAATGAAACCATAGTTCAGAGAGTTTCTGTCTGTCCATATTCCCCACGATATCAGCAGCTTTTGTAATTAGTACAGTTAACAGAATCAGGAAGTTAACGTTGGTACAATAACTATTAACTAAAGACCTTACTCAGATTTAGTTTTCCCACTAATATCCTTTATTATTGTTCTAAGATACTATTTTGGATCCCACATTGCATTTACTTGTCATTAATTCCAACAAAATGGTTATCTTGGGGTGTCTGTTTCTATCGAATGCTTTCTTTCTTTTTTGTGGGGTGAAGGTGGTACGCTGGGCATTGAACCCAGCGGTGTTTTACCACTGAGGTACATCCTGTGCCCTTTTAAAAATATTTTATTCTGAGACAGGGTCTCACTAAATTGCCCAGGGCTAGACTCAAACTTCTTGTGATCCTCTTATCACAGCTTCCTGATTGACTGGGATTACAGGCATTCGCCATTGCACCAGCAAATGCCTTCTCTCTTCAATTCTCCATCTATTTCTCTGCATGTCTCATAGTTTTTTTCATTTGTATAGTCAGCATTGTGGACAATATGTTACAGAGATTCTGGACTCTGTTTTATTCTGAGGGTGTTGGTTTTTATTTTAGCAAGCAGACCCCTTATGCCAAATTCTGTTTCTGTTTGGGGAGCAGATAATTTCTTTCAGCCAACTAGGTTTTGTTTTCAGTGGTCTTACAGTTTCCTCTCCCCAAGCAACAGGGTCTGTGGTCAGCTGGAGATTTGATTAGAGAGCTTTCTTCTCTGTCCATCTATTGGGACATTTCCCTCTGTCTCTCCCTCCATTCTAAAAATTTTCACCTCATTGTTAATCAGGATACTGTTGTGTCTTTTCAAGCCATCAGGAAGCCATTAGGACTGACCACCTGCTTGAGTTTTATTTTAGCTGTCTTAAACTAGCAGTGAGTCTTATCCTGTATACTTTGCCTTTTTCAGGAATCAGTTTTTCAGTTTTCTAATTTCTGCCATTTTTTTCCTTTTCTTGTGATTAATTTTAAGTAGATCTTTGTATTTTTTTACTTGAATATATCATTCTTTCAAAAATCACTGTATATTAGATATTTTTCTGATGATGTGATCATGTCATCCAGCCAATGACTTCCTGCCCCCCCTTTTTTTTAATTTGAGAGAAAATTGTCTTAAGTTCTTTTTTTTAGCTATAGTTGCACACAAAACCTTTATTTTATTTGTTTATTTTTATGTGGTGCCAAGGATTGAACCTAGCACCCTGCATATGCTAGGCGAGCGCTCTACCACTGAGCCACAACCCAGCCCCTCTTAAGTTCTTTTTAATGCTCTCTTGCTCCTTTTAAATAATGGGAAATTTGACTAGATATATGGTAGTGTTAAAGCTTATGTATTTTAGGAATTAAAAGGTTTTGTTTATTAAAAAAGGACTTTTTTTTTTCAAAATTTTTTTCAGTTGTAGTTGGACACATATCTTTATTTATTTTTATGTGGTGCTGAGGATCGAACCCAGGGCCTCGCATGTGCTAGGCGAGCACTCTACTGCTGAGCCACAACCCCAGCTCCCTTAAAAAGGACTTTTTTAAAAAATATATTTATAGAAGCAATTATGTTGTCTCATTTGCTTCATTGTATTACAGGGTATGGGAGTATGACAGTTGAAGTAAAAAGCTTGCCAATGACTTGATTGTTAAGGATAGTTGGTGTGTATTATTATTATCATCTGTTTAATTCAGTAAACATTTGTGGTTTTCCATAACAAAAAGTTAAGGTCACTATCTTTAAGGTGTAACGTATTTTTGGCTCTGAATATAAGATTTGTACATTTGATTATAAAACCCTGAATAAAGCATCTACAGTGAATAAATGATCTAGGATTTACTTTTTTATGAAATAACTGGTATAGTTCAAAGAGTGTGTTAAGTAGTTGAGTCATATGAAATTGCCCACTTATGGCCATTTTTAGCCTCCAAAAATGACCTATTTATATGATTAACCCAATATATGTTAAAAATCTTTATAATACACAATTGACTTTACCCCAAAGAATATTACTAAACACTGTTGAAATGTTTTTATGTGCTTTTCCCTCTACTTTCACTCAACAGGTAATCATTATCTAGAAAACTGTATATGTGCTTTTTTTTTTCTTTCTCATTTTTTAGTAGACTTTTTAACTCCTTCATAATTCCTTTGTAGATTTCCCAGAAATATTTGTGTCCTTAATTAGGCATATAGATTTGTATCAGCATGTTGTGTAATCATGCTTACTTTTCATCTTTGTACATTATACCATCATGTAACTGAATGTAATGTGTTCCCGTCTTGGTAAGCACAAAGCCAAAAACCACAAGCAGGAGATAAAAAGTGGAGAAAGACTATCACCCACAGCAGGAAAGGAATAAATAACCTTATTGTTATTTATTTCTAAGGTTATTTCTAAAGCAGTGCCCTCTGAGAAATGGAAGCATGGGGATTTTATTCAGGGAGTTTATACATGTTCATATAGGGAAATATTGTAGGTACAGACATGTTCCTGAGCATGCTCAATTTAAGGTGTGCATTTTTGAGCATGCTCAGTTTAATGTCATATTTCAAGAATGTAAGATGGCAGATATATTTGTGGGCATGCTTAACTCATGCTCATAGACCCCATGGTCAAAAAGGTTCAGATGGTGGACCCAAACACTTCTGGGCATGTTCTGTCCAGTATTATAACAAGCCAGGTATACTCCAGTTTGCCTAAAATAATGAGTCAGGAGGCCATGCATGGTAGCACATGCCTGCAATCGCAGTGGCTTGGGAGGCTGAGGCAGGAGGATTGCAAGTTCAAAGCCAGCCTCAGCAAAAGTAAGGTGGTAAGCAACACAGTGAGACCTTGTCTCTAAATAAAATACAAAATAAGGTTAGGAATGTGGTTCAGTGGTCAAGTGCCCCAGAGGTTAATCTCCATTACCCCCAAAAAAGAGTCAGGGTAGCTTGGTGACCTTGATTGGTCTTCTGCAAGTTGTTTCAGAGACACTTTGAAACAAAAAAGAATGGGCTTTGGGTGGGGGGCAGTACGGGGATTGAACTCAGGGATATTCAGCCATAAAGACAGGGTCTCACTGAGTTGCTTAGCACATGTTGAGGCTGGCTTTGAACTCATGATCCTCCTGCCTCAGTCTCCTAAGCCCCTGGGATTACAAGCATGCACTACCATGCCCCGCAAGAAAGTACAAATTTGAAGGTGCTTTTAATACAGGAGTTTTCCCCTGAAGGTGCCTGCCTTGCTTAGCACCAATAGTCATACTACTGTGACTTTTTGCCTCAGGTGTGGTTCTCTGAGGTATCCATGGTGATACATATAGCTCTAGTTCATTGACTTTTTTCACTGCTCTCTAGGATTTCATTGCATGAATGTATCAGAATGAATTTATCATTCTTTTGAGGGTGGCCATGAAGTATATTTTCTAATTTTTTGCTTTTAACAAAGAATGTTGTTGTGACTATCCTAAGAGTCTTGCTACACTTGTTTAATACATTCTTTCTAGGCAGTGGCTTTCTATGACTAGGACCTATAGTAAGATAAAAATATACGTTGCAACTCAACACATAACACAGCCAAAACAAAATTTACTTATATGATATGTACTTTGATCTTTTCTGTTAGAAAAATCAGTTGAGGGCTGGGGTTGCGGCTCAGTGGTAGAGCGCTTGCCTAGCACATGTGAGGCTCTGGGTTCAATCCTCAGCACCACATAAAAATAAATAAATAAAGGGGAAAAAATGTTACTTAGACCCACTAAATTAATATTATGAAATGGGTAAAGAAATAGTGATCTATTTGGAAAAATATGTACCTTGATGTAAAATTTGAGTCAGAGAATATTCATGCTTACCTATAAAAGACGGTGTCTTTATTTTCCAAACCTGTACACTTTATATTCCTTCCAGCAGATTAATATTATGAGAGTTTTCTTTTCTGCATATTCTTATCAATACTGTCATCACACTTTGCAGTTCAATTTGTGTAAAATAATTTCATCTCCCATTTTCTTTTGATAAATGTTTATTCCTTCTGTGTCCTGGCACTGTTGTAGTGTTTGGGATATGTCAGTGAACAAGAAAAATAAAGGTTACTATCTTCAGGGAATGTTCATTCTGGCTGTTCTAATTTTTTAATTTTTAAGTTGACAAATTGTATGCATTCATATGTACAACATGGTATTTTGATATATGCATACATTATAAAATGATTAAATACATCCATGTGCCTACCCCAGTCACATCCTTTTTCCTTGAAAAGCAAACATTCTCTTTACTTAACAAGTACTCTCACTTCCCTACATTTCTTGTTTTGTCTCCTAAATTTGGATCCTGAACACTAGATTTTGCCAGTTTTTAAATTTTGATGTTCACAATTTTTGAATCTACAGTTTCCCCCTTTATGCCTTTCTTTTCTTTACCAATTATCTATGGCAGAACCCAGGCATTTTGACTAGTGTAGTCTCCCACACCTAGATTGCATCCTGTGTAGATAACATACTCTGATTTTTGCAAATTGTGACCATATTTAAAAAAAAAAAAAAACCATATATCATTATGAGCTGATAGATTTAAACCTAAGAGTTTCGAGTTTCAATCCATTTTCATGTTGTCCCATCTTTGGCCAATGGGAATCTATTCAGATTGACGTTCATGTCTTTGTCATAACCCTAGTAGGTTTTAATCATTTCTTTACCCTCTGGTAGGCCAGGATGTTACAGGTTCATTTTGTGTATTTTCTACCCCTGTGTGGAATCTATATTTTTGGAAGAAGTCCTGGTTTCTTATAGTAGAAAATGGACCTGGATGCCAGGGATGCTTGTTGCTTATTTGGTGACCATGATTTCTAGGCCTTTGTAGCAGATACCGCTAGGTTATCTATATATCCATGTATAATATACAGCTGTTTGAAATATCTCATGAATTCATATTGGTATTTCAGATTTTCAGGACTAGGGTTTCTATTCCAACTCTTCTATATCATATCTTCATGTTCTTTCTCTTACATCCTGCATCCTGATCCTTTCCAAAGAACACAGAGCATGATACAGTCTAATAGTTCACTCTTTGCTTCATTCTACATGATAAACAGCAATCTCAGAATGATAATACAGGTTGTACATTCTTAATCCTAAAATCAAAATGTGAAATGCTTCAAAATCCAAACCTTCTTGGGCACTGGCATGACACCACAGCTGGAAAATTCCACATCAAGAAAATGGTTTCTTTGAATTAGAAAGCATCCCATTTTTGAAATGCAGTTTAATTTGAGAATGCTAACTTGGATATATATAGGTATATTTTTATGGCATTTATTTTGTTCTAATCATAAAAAGAAAACCTACTTGGGAACCTTCACTTCTTATAATTCTGCTTAGTTTAAACAAATGACGTGTAGGATTATACAACCACAGAAAAACATACTATTAGTAAAGTGTCTTCTACAATGTCTGATTTTAAAACTTAACCTAATTCTGCCAAAATATTTTAAACTACAGCAAAAAAAAATTGTATTTATGTAGTTTCATTTTGCATTTTCTTAGCTCTTTTCCCAAAAACTTTATATAAACTTTCATTAATTAATGATTTTTTTTGTCTGTGCACACCCACATCTGTATTTTTGTGTATAAAGAGTGTACAATATTTGAAGATTGGCTGTATATATATAAGTAGTCAAGGGCACAAAAAAAGCATTGTTTTTTAAGCCACTGTAGGAAGTTCATCAAGTAGTTTTCATCATTAATTTGATCCTAGCAAGTAATAATCTTGCCCTTCAACAGTTTTTAATTTTTATTTACAGGTAAGCTTTTGGGTTGTAAGAGAGATTCTTCATGCTCAAACATTAAAAATTAGAGCAGAAGTTTTAAGCCACTATATTAAAACTGCTAAGGTAAGAAAAACTTGTTTTTATTCTGTAATTCAACTATTCACAAATGTTTTTAGTCAGCATTTGCTGGTAATACTTTATTTACTGTTTTATTGATACTGGAAAATAGTACCTGTTGAGTAATATGTCAGTTTTTTGATTGAATGCTTGTTTTCTCTGCCTTTTCTTTTATTTCTCTTGTTTTCCTCCCGTTTTATATTCATTCTCCTCTCTCAGTAGCAAAATTGAATGGTCTGTATCACTGGATAAGTAGACAGAGGTCAGATTATGATATTTATGAAATATGAGACTATTCTGAAGGTGATGGAGAAAGCCATATATGATAGAGTAGGTGAAAACAGAATTGCTTCTGAAATAGATCAACCCCTGCCAACCATGGGGAGAATGACTTTAAAAAATAGTATATGTGATGTTACCAAATACTTTAACTGAGCAGTGATTGTGTGGCATAGACAATATATATATAGCAGGAGTAACGGAGTATTGATTTCATGGATACTCAGAATTTAAAGAGGATAGTGAGATAAACCTGAAGCAACTCCAGATTTATATTAAGTTCACTAAGAACTATGGTAATTGTAGCCAAACTCATTGTTCATGATTTTTATAATAAATACATGAATTAACTCACCCATGAATGAAAGAAGATAGAATAAGGTGAGAATACCCTGTTCATAGCTACTGTAAGGCATGATTCTTCCCATGTTTTCCTTGAGTGTGTGGCAACAATTCTGTGGCACTAGGTGGCAGAGCTAGCCTTCTACAAATATGATATTTTGCAGAAGTGTGATAAAATTATCATTCTTTGTGATAAGTCAGATAAATAATGGTTTTTAGCTAGTAGAAATTAATGACTTTTTTCATAGATTCTGGATTTCCATTATTGTTTTCCGATTTTTTAATTACATATTTTTAAAAACAGAATGTATGTTACACTGAAAATCACCAAATTTTTCCCATCAAACATACCCTAGCTTTCTCATCAAATAATCATTTAATTCTTCAGCTTTCAGGCCTTGAGTTATATTTGACAGCCTTTGCCTTTTTCCCAAGCCCTAATTCGTAATTGATTTTTTTCTCATCACTCTAAAGTTGCTATATTCTGACTCTGCACTCTGTATTCAGTTTGCTATAAAACTAGCAGATCTGACTCTTCTTTTGGTAGATTGTGTCAGTCACTGTCCTCTAGAAAGACAGAACTAATAACGCTCAATATAAACGTGTATGAAGAGATCTTAAGGATTGCTCACGAGATTATAGGAGCTGGTAAGTCTGAAATTTGTAGGGCATGCCACAGTGCTGGAAACTGAGACAGGGGTTCTTTTCCTTATAAATCTTTTTTATTCATATGGAGAGTTGAACGTGGTGCCTAATCTATAGTAAATGCTTCACATACGGTATTGAATAGATAGTTTCCGAACTAGGTTAAATTACCTTTCTGTGTAAAGATATATATTCTGTTTTATGTTTTTTATTTTGTTTTTATTTGTTTTCTTTGGGTTTTTATTTAAATATCCTACCCACAGCATTTTCTAGACCTGGGGCTTACCTGGTAACAGAGATAGAACTGTTCCAAAATGACTAAATTTTTAGACAGGACCTTTGAAATTTTATCAGGAAGTATGACAAAATGCTATCAGGCAAATTAGAATAAATGTTAAATCTCTAGGCAAATGAATAGAACCTAGAGTTGATAGGCATTTTCTGTATGCACCTATAAAATGAATGAGAAACAAAGGATCTGAGGGTTTAGGAAGAAGTAAGAAATTGAGGAGATCTGGAATAATGGGCAGGAAAGATGATGAGCATCCTGAGTAGAAACTTTCTTAAAACTTGGAACACAAAGCAAAGACTTAGTAATATTTCAGTGTAAGGAATGAGTTTTCTGCTGGAGTTGGAGTTTGTGTTCATACCAGGTAAACTTGATACTGAACCATAACTCTCGTTTTTTAAATACATTTTAATCTGCCTTTTAGAGGCAGATTTATTCCCAGTGCTTGGGGACAATAAGAGGGTTAAACATGGAAGTTGTTTTGTGGGCTGAAAACAATCAACTGTAAACAGAGTACGTACTCTAAATACAGATCTCAGGAGTATGGGTAGTAAATCCTGGAACATTACCACCTGACTACATTGTAGTTTCTAATCTTTATTTTTCTTGTATTTGCTTTTAAATTTCTTGTCCATTCTTCCCCCTTTTCTTAAATCTTCAGAAACTATATGAGCTGAATAACCTTCATGCCCTCATGGCAGTGGTTTCTGGCTTACAGAGTGCCCCAATTTTCAGGTTGACGAAAACATGGGCGGTGAGTATTCTCCCTTAATTAATGAATGTTAGATTTCCTGTGGGAGGTAAAGGTATATTAATTTCTTTTGTAGTTCTTACAAAGGTTAATATTAAATAGATAAGAATTTTAAATTACTTTGTACTTTATTTATTTTTTTTTTTAATTTTTTTTTTATTGGTTGTTAAAAACATTATAAAGCTCTTGACATATCATATTTCATACATTAGATTCAAGTTGGTTATGAACTCCCAATTTTACCCCAAATACAGATTGCAGAATCACATCAGTTACACACCCACGTTTTTACATATTGCCATACTAGTGACTGTTGCATTCTGCTACCTTTCCTATCCTCTACCATCCCCCCTCCCTCCCCTCCCATCTTCTCTCTCTACCCCATCCACTGTAATTCGTATCTCTCCTTGTTTATTTTCCCATTCCCCTCACAACCTCTTATATGTAATTTTGTATAACAATGAGGGTCTCCCTCCATTACCATGCAATTTCCCTTTTCTCTCCCTTTCCATCCCACCTCATCTATCTGTTTAATGTTAATCTTTTCTTCCTGCTCTTCCTCCCTGCTCTGTTCTTAGTTGCTCTCATTATATCAAAGAAGACATTTGGTATTTGTTTTTTAGGGATTGGCTAGCTTCACTAAGCATAATCTGCTCTAGTGCCATCCATTTCCCTGCAAATTCTATGATTTTGTCATTTTTTAGTGCTGCGTAATACTCCATGGTGTACTTTATTCTTTGAAACCTGGATTTTCCTCTCCTTAAGTGATTGACCAGATTTATGAGGTAATTTGTGGATAGACTACAGTTTGATACTTTGGTTTCTTCTCTTTAGAGAATCATTTTTGTATCCTCTTTAAGTATCTTTGACGTAGTGTTTCATATTTGCCAATGGGAAAGTATAAAGACAAAATGGCATTTAATCATGTAAAGATTATGATTTTGGTAAGTTTGAGGAAAAATCTAAATTTACTGTTTTCAATTGCCATTATTTTTTAGTCTCAATCTTTATGGTTTTTTTCTTTAGGATTAATGGAAAATCTGATGGTAAACATGGACTAATGTGATATTACTATATGTTCTGAGGATGTTGTGTTAATCGTTTTTGGTTCTATTACATTGACAAGGTTACAGTTTAAACTTTTTTGACATCTGCAAATTTGTTTATCTTCATCTTTGCATGATTTCGGATTCTGTACTCAGTCTTTTCAAGTATTTTCAATTTAAATTTTATACATGTAATATTTTAGAAGTAAAAGGAGGGAGGTTATAAACAGTAAAAAGTTAGTGTAGCCACTGGATTTTAAGTCCTAGTGGTATCAGATAATTTCTCAATTCAAGATGACAAAAGGAATGGAAGATAAAAGTGATGGAAGGTAAGATCATTGGAGGATGAGAGAGGTCAAGAAACTGGGACACCAGGGTATTGGGAGTATCATCTCTGAATATTACAATCACTAAGATTGATGATAAGGATAATACTGTTTCATAGGATCTTTTTTCTCTAATAAAGTCTTCAGAACATAGGAAAATAACAGTAGGTAAATGAGTGACGTTAATGTGTTGACATTTTATGTAGTATTATCTAGCATGATAGCCACTAGTCACATGTTGCTATTAAGTATTAATTATTAAAATAAAAATTCAGTTCCTCAGCTATACTGGCCAGGTTGCAAGTGCTCCATAGTCACATGTTAACTAGTGGCATTGTATTGGAGAGCACTGATCTACTAGTGCCTTGAACTTAACAGATGGCAGAGGATTTTAGAGAAGAAAGTGGAATAATAAACTGGAAGAGACTGTGAAGAGCAAGTAGTAGGATTATGTCTACCTACCTCCAAGCTCAATTTACAAGAAACTTGAGGAAAGGTTAAGACTTGCAGAGGATCAAGAGTTTCAGAGAGTACAGCTGGAAAGGTTTGGAGGAGTGACTAGGTCAAGTTAGAGAATAAATAAAGCTTGTTTGGGTTTAAAAAGCCTATTTGGGTTAAAAAATTTTAATGACTGAAGAATTGAAGGTTTTTGTTTTGTTTTTCAACTGATCAAGGGAATGTACCAAAAAGTCTAAAACATCCTATAATAGGGAAAATATTGGAGCATTCTCCATAGCATCAAGTGAAAAGATGTACATTTTCTTTTTTTTTTTAAGATGTACATTTTCATTATATTTTTTCAACATAGAGATCCTAGCTAGCATATTAAAAAAAAAAAAGAAACTTTTTTTCCTGAAAGGAATAGATAGGGGGGAATTTTATTTATCATATTATAATTTACTCATCTATAGAAAACTCAAACTACAGATAAAACATGATTGAAAACAATTAAATTTCTCCTAAACTAAACACAGAATTACCTTGTGATTAAGCAGTTAGTTTCTGAGTATATACCCAAAATAATGGAAAGCAAAAAACATAAATATTTTTGTATCTGTGATCATAGTAACATTTTTAACAGCAATCACAAAGTAGAAACAACCCAAACATCTGTAAGGAGATGAATAAATGAATGAAATGTCATATATATATGTATAATTGAATATTATTTGGCATTAAAAAGAATGGAATTCTGCAGCATATTACAACATGGATGATCCTTGCAGATTTATGCTGTGTGAAATGAGTAGATACAGAAAGACAAATATGATTGATTCTACTTATATATTCTACATGACCTAGCATGATCATATTTATAGAGGCAGAGAGCAGAGTAGTGGTTATTAGTGATTGGGAAAGATGCAAACAGGGAGTAATTGTTTACTTGGTATAGAGTTGTTATGATTTGGATGATCCCCAAAGTTCAGATGTTAAAGCCTTGGTCCCCAGATAATGGTGCTCTTGGGAGGTAGTGGAACTTTTAGGAGGTAGGACCTAATGGAAAGAAGTTAGGCCATTGGGCGGGTGCCCTCAAAAGGTAAATATTGGGACCGTGGCTCCTTTCTGTCTTTCTTCTTGGCTGCCATGAGGTAAGCAGCTTTGCCCCACACTCTACTCCCCATCATGACGTTTTGCTTTGCAGCGGGGCCAAGTGATCATGGATTGAAACAATGAGCCAAGATTAATTGTTTTCTCCATAAGAATAGGTTTAGGGCTGGGGATATAGCTCAGTTGGTAGAGTGCTTGCCTCCCATGCACAAAGCCCTGGGTTCAATCCCCAGCACCACAAAAAAGGGGGGGGGGGTAGGTTTATCTTGGAAAGCTGACTAACATAGCTGAGAATTGGGGTCATTGCTATGACTATGTCTGCTTATGTGATTTAGAAAGGCCTTTAGAATTGGTTTCTGGAAGAGAATTTGGAAAGGTTTGGAGAAGCAGCCTAGAGAAAGCTTGGTACATTGTAAGCAAAACATAATGAGTGATTCTAGTATAGGAGCTCAGAAGCCTAGAATGGTAATAGGAAAATGAACAGTGAAGGTGAAGACTATACTCATGAGGTCCCAATTCAATTGCCTTGTTCAGCCATCTAGGTACTTGGAGGCTGCAGCAGTGGTATACCCAGGTATACCTGGAAGAGCTTGCAACAGTGGCAGACTTTGGTATCAACTGTGTAATGTTGGTTTTGCAGACATTCAGAATGGAAGTCATGGAGGCTTCTGCTGAAATTTCAAAGGAAAATCTGAGGCCAGGCAGAGGTGGCAGGGTTAGAGTCCCTATAACAGACCCCAACATGACAGTGCATGCCATTGTAGGAGGCTGAGGCTGCAGTAGAAACCATAGGAAGTCAGAGGTGCCAGAAGCATGGAATGCTACTAAGGACAGTGAGCAGAGTTTTCCCAAAAGAGTGGCCATCTGTGTTACAGCCAGGAAGGCTACAGCTCACACCATGCCACTGTATTACTTGGTGCCAGACATGGAGCTAGAGGATTTAATATTTGCCCTGCTGGGATTCAGCCTTGTTTTGATCCAATTCTTTCTTGCTCTTTTCTTACTGCTCCCTTTTGGAATGAATGTTTACCCTGAGCCATTATATCTAGAAGCATGTGACCTGTTTTTTGATTTCTACAGGGGCTCACATCTAAGAGTTTCCATTGAATTTCTAAGGAGACTTTGGATTTGGACTTTTGAGCAATACTGGAACTGTTGAGACTTTGGGGATTCTTGCAGATGGTCTAAATACATTTTGCATTATAAAATAGACATAAGCCTTTGGGAACAAGAGACAGAATGTTATATTTGTTTGTTTGTTTTTTAGCTGCAGATGGGCACAATATCTTTATTTTCTTAATGTGGTGCTAAGAATCAAACCCACACATGCGAGGCAAGTGCTCTACCACTAAGCCCCAGCCCCAGCCCCAGCCCTGGTTTGATTCTTAAATGCTCTGTGAAGCCTTGGCTGGTAGCATGTGGCCCTGTTGGGAAATGATGGAAACTTAAGTAGGTGGGACCTTGTGAAGAAGTTGTAAATGTGCCCCTGCAGGGGATATTGGGACTCTCGTCTGTGTGTGTCTGTCGGTGTCTGTCTGTCTGTCTGTCTCTCTCTCTCTCTGGCTTCTGGTAAAAAAGTAAGTTAGCAGCTTACTTACAAAACTGGCCACATCTTCCCCCCATCATGGTATTCCACCTCATTGCAAGCCTGGAAAACAGAGGAGCCAAGCAATGATGGACTGAAGCCAAAAATAAATCTTCCCATTCTTTAGGTTGATAATCTCACAGTGACAGAAATCTGACTAAGTGTTCAGTTTGAGAAAATGAACAAGTTCTGGTTGTAATAACAGTGCAAATGTAATCAATGCCATTGAATTACACAGTTAAAAATGGTTAAAAGAGTCAATTTTATGTTATTCCTGTTGTACCACAGGTTAAAAAAAATAGGGTTTACTAAGGTGGCTGAATATATGAATAATATACAAAATGGGTTACATTTCAGACAATTCAAAAGCATCATTTAAGAGGACACATTTTATAATATTAACAGAAGAAACAAAAAATTTGTAAATGTGTAAGATCTATGTAACAAAAAATTATAAAACCATAGAAGATGAAGCAACATCCCATGTTTGGGAAAGGA